GTGGTTAAGGGACTGTAAAACTGATTTTATGCAGCTGTTAGCATTTCAATGTAATTTTTACTCTCTAAAAAAACCTTTTTGTGTGTTTGCAGGCCAAGCATGTGATCAGTCTTCAAGGCAAACTGAACGGCTTGTGTTCTACCGACTGTTTCACACAATTCAAAGAAAAGAACCAGTTAGCATTTTCACTGTGTAGCCAGTGCAGTGCTTTATGCTCTAATCAAAAGATGATGAGAAGCATTGAAATAGAGGGCAAAGTACATCGCTTCTGTAGTATGAGATGCTTCAAGATGAAACTCAAACGTTCCATGAGCACCATAGCATGTGCTGCCTGCAAGGTACTTTATTTTTCTTTATCCTTCTACAAAAAGGGTGTATTTAGCCAATACCTTTGGCTGGAAAAGTTCGTCTCTTAGACTGATGTATTGTAGTTTAAGAGTTCACTAAAGACCCGCTTCAAGTGCAAATAGTAACCATGCCTGTCAACTGTTCCAATTAATCGGAACTGTTCTGATTTTTTAGTTTAAAAAGGCCTAAAAATTGGAACATTGTAATTTTCAAAGTTTTGGGGAGAGAACAAAATCTAAAAAAATATTTTCTTGCAAATTACTTTACACTGTCTAAGAAGTTCGCTTGCCCTCATCGCACAACACGTACAATATGCTTGGAAGGGTTAATCTCTGCTAGTTGTGTCCATATTACTTTTTTGTAGCAGCCACAACCATAGATTCGTGCCTGATTTCAAGCCGCAGCCAACTAATATGGACACAACCCTTGTGAAGGAAGCACAGACACCGAAAGCATTGTGGGAAGCTAAACGATTTGCTCATGGGCAATTTCGCCGATAAAAACTTGTCTATCCAGTGAGGACTTAAGAAATTGCAGCCTGCGTCAAAGAAATAAGCTCTTCCCAGCACCTTGTTTGGGCATAAGAGACAAAAAACTGGAAAATAAATAAAGTCATGGTGCTTTTTATGTCTGTGTATAAGTTTCACTTGAAGAGTATGAAGTTTTTGTTATCTGTAAAGCATACTCATGTATTCTGCATTTATTCATTTACTATGAGGTATTTTCCCCCCATCTATTTTCATGCCACTGTGAACAGGGCTGTGCACGTATATGACTAATCCACCATGTTGTTTTTTTGAAAGTTGTTTTGTATACCAACCTGACCAATGAATGTGACTTGTGTACATGAAGAGTTTATGCAGTGTTGACACAGTTTATCATGTTCATTCATAAAAATCGCCAGTGGGGGATTGAGTTGGCGGTGGTACAATCATGTTTTAGAACTTCTGTAAGTTTATGCCTGTAGTCAGGTTTTTTTGGCAAAGCCAATGCAATTGTTTGTTTGTGTTTTTGCACTATGTGCTGCAACATGTAAGAAAAGCATCCTGTAATGTGGAAACACCCATGCAATCCATTGCAGGCTGCTAGAACAAGCCTTGTGATTGGTCAGATTGCACGAGATTGTAATGTAATAGGCTGTCCAAATATGGCAATACTCCAGACTGTACATGTATATAGCTCTGCCTGGATCCCACCAGGGGCCCTGAGGCAAGCCCTTGGATTGTACTCATTGGGGACTTTGCGCCAACTTATTTGCATTGCATGCACACTGGTCGTTCTGTTTTTCTGACTTTCCCATGACCCATGTTGGAGGGTGATTATTAAAGTGACTCAGTAACGTCACACCTTGAAATTTTAAATTTAATTACATCTTTGTAGATCAATAGATGTCAATCTGAGTTAAAAAAATTTTTTTTTACAACTGTAAAGAAAGAATGTTTCTTGAATTTAAGTAGCTCATAACTGTATTTGCAAACCATGTATTTATTACCCAGCTATTTAATAGAAAATGTTCATTTTGATTTGATATCATTGTATGGAAGAGACATGTTTTAAATCCATTTATCAGAACTCAAAAATGCCACTACTTCCCAAGAATACAAGTGTAACTTGGGATATTTTTCCAAATTTTTATTCAGATCATCAGCCATGTCAGCGTAGTAATTGATGGGAGGAATAATGTGACTATTAACCACTTCCTGGCGCAGCAGTTATCAATGTTGATGATGCTGGGCTGGGATATTTATCATTTTCTCTGTTTTCAAAATTCTTTAAAAATTCCTATCTTCATTTACTGGACACTTATAAACACATGCAGGACTATCTGGTGGCCCCTCTAGCCTGACTGACAAAATCTATTGATGCTTGAGTATTTCAGCCAGGCCTGCAGCCTTGTAAAAAGAGCGCAGATTGTGCGGTGTTATATAACTTTCTTTTGTTCATGAACCTGGCTCAGTGCGCTGCTGACCTCTTTTCAATGGGGCCAGATTAGCATGCAGCAATGCTGTGTGGCTCATCGCTGCTGTAGTAGAGCGCTTTTGTCCCCGGTGGTAATCTGCTTGCTCTAAATGCCCCAAACTGTGGTATACTGTTTCAAAACGAGGCTGGATTATCTCCACTTTTGAGAGTGAAAAAATGTCGGTAATGCCCGGCAGCCTGGTCTTTTGTTCTGAGTACAGTCTTTTGTTACAAGTGCTATTCCCTTTGTCCGAGTTCGGAGACCCCGACCATGCATGTAAAACATACGTGTCCGGACCCTGGCAGGAAGCGGTTAAGCTAGCTTCCATGCAGCAGATGTTGCAGCGTAGTTTGCAGATAAAATTTCTCCTGCAAAGGTTTTGTACAAGTTAAAATATAGCAAGCATACTTTCATTCTTTCATTTTGATCACCCCACACATGAAAAAGATGCAGCAGATGTAAAAATCGAAACTTGTACACGGTATAGGTGGGAAAAATGGTTTCCAAGTTTTGTGGTACCACCTTACTTGGTGTTAGCAACTCATTCCAATTCTCATTGACTCTTAGCCATTATACCATGACAGCATTAAAATGAAAGAAATTGGACTTTTCCTAATATCCATATATTGATAAAGTGAACATAATGATGTCTTTGAAGTTCATATATTCTTTTGAAAGAAGTGATGATATTTAATTCTGAAAAAGCTTTTTATTCCTTCAATTTTGATACAGAAGCCTAACTGGGCCCAGAGCATGATAGAGGAATGGAATGGCACAGAACTTGTGCGATTCTTTTGTTCTACAGCATGTCTTGGCAAAAGAGAAACCATACCCTTCACATCTACTCAAAATGTGACTGTGCCAACAAATAAGACCTCAATACCACCACTTGGGAAGAGTCAGCCTTCATCCCTGAAGCAGCAGAAGCCTCAGCAATCACAGCAGGTAGCTATTGCAAATGCCATTAACATTCTTCTGTTTTCGAAGTCCCACCGATGAAGTCGAAGGGGCATATTGTTTCCACCTTGTTCTTCCTTGGGTGGGTGTCCAGGATATTCTTGTCAGGGTTTTAACTTAAAAAATATGTTGCATGTGAACCTTAATTTGGTTTATGGGTTGGTCTCAGTGATCTTAAGAAACCTATTGGATTTTGGGCTCAAAGTTTCAAGGTCACAGTGACTAAAACAGTAGAAATCTTGTTGATGTAATAACTTAATAATGTTTTGCATAGGAGTGTCAAATGTGGCATGTGCATTATTTTTGGCAATCGCTAAAGCTTATTGCATTTAAACCCATAAAGGTCAAGTGTCACAATGGCTAAAACAAGACAAATCTTTGTTTGTGATCCAAAAAACTAAAGTGCGGGTTTATGCATGGCTTTGATAGGGTATTTCTGTTTGTTAACACTTTAGTCATTTTTTGTTTATTTTGTTTTCACAAAGAAGAAAGTGCCTTTAACCTTTTGACACTAGAATGTAATGGTTTGTTCCTTGTTTGTTCTTGAGTTGTATAAAAATGGTAATATAACCATTCCAGATCTGGAGTAAAGTTCATTTCTGTGAAGAAATATCTCTGGCAATCTTGCCCACAAAATAACTTTGATGGCAAATTTTGCCATTTCAAGATGCAATTTTGCATACCTTAACCATGTCCAAATTTAATGATTGAGTTGGGACATTTAGTGACGGTCTTTGGTGATTTGGATTGGGGACCTGGGTCCAAAGGACAATAGAAAATTACCTAAATTTCTTACTTACATGAACAAAAACTGGCCTAACCTAATACTGGCCGTAAATGCCCCCGTACTGACCAGGACATTTGCAGCATGGGTTTCACACATTGGTATACCAGCTCAGTCGCTTTTCTTATGGCATTATGAAACAGGGCAATGATGCACACATGTGTTTGTTTGATATGAATGTATTTAATCAGGAAGAATCAAAATCTTTACAAATAAAGTAGCTTGGTTAATTCAAACGGAGGTGTTGTGAAACAGCATAATAGTCAAGGATATGTACCTACCAACTTGACAATGATATCTGCCGATCCCCAGGTCTGAAAAAACATTATTTGTAGGAATAGTTTTTTAGTTCAGAAGTGCTGCAAATTATACTGCTGTGTTGCGATGTTGCACAATTTTGTACATGTATGACCCTTTCTGTGAAAATGAGTCATAAGGCCTTTTTCAGAAATTTTATTTTGGTTTACATTATGAAGAGCAAGCTCGGCTCTTTGTGTTGAGGCATTACTACATATGTATTTTGGCATCTTAAGGGAAGTGAAGTGTGTGCATGAAATATGTGCAGTACCCATTTATTTCCATGGTGCATGAATTTTTTAACCACTTGCTACCAGGTGGTTTGAAAAATGCAGTTGTTTTAAAAATTCAGTGCACATAATTGGGACTTTTCAAGATTTTCAGTTTTCAAAAATCTTCAGAAATTCATCATTTCAATTATAGGATGTTTACACCCACACGAATTACGGTCTGGTGGCCACTCTAGTCTGACTGACAAATCTATTGACGCCAGAGTATTTCAGCCAGGCCTGCAGCCTTGTAAAAACAGCCCAGATTGAGCGTTGTTATAGAACTTTCTTTTGTTCATGAACCTGGCACAGTGCGCTGCTGACCTCTTTTCAAGAGGGGCCAGATTAGCGTGCAGCAGTGCTGTCTGGCTCATTGCTGCAGTGGTGGAGCGCTTTTGTCCTTGGTGGTAATCCGCTCGCTCTAAATGCCCCCCTCCCAAAAAAAGGCTGGATTATCTCCTCTATTGAGAGTGAAAAAATGTTGGTAATGCCCAGCAGCCTGGTCTTTCGTTCCGAGTACGGTCTTTTGTTACAAGAACCAGTTCCCCTTTTCCGATTTCGGACACCCCGGCCACATGTATAAAATATATGTGTCCGGCACTGAAAACCCCGGGGGCAAGTGGGTAAAGGTTTGTCACTTAAAAGAGGCAAGTTGAGACCCATATTTCACCGAGCAGATCACATTTAACTCCTGATGTGGAATTTGAAGCGCCATAGCAAAAGAAGCATTTTTGACATTCACAAGCATGACTACTTCACCCAATCATCTTCATCCTGTGAAGGGTCACTGACAATTTAATTTTTATTGAGGCTATTATTATTATTTTCATTACCGAAAATGGGTCACTTGGGAGACATTCCCTTAGGAACGTGACCAAAATTTTTCAAACTTTACCGTCCCATAATTCAATATTCCCAAATCCGATCTTAACCAAACTTTGCATGTTTTCCTTTCAGACCCTAATCTATCATCTCTCAAAATGTAGACATTAAAAATTTTCCTCCTTTTGGTAGTTGGAGCATTAGGGAGTCATTGAAATGTCCCCCTAATGACCGATGTCTCCTTAATGTTGAAAAATTTACCACAAAATGTCTCCCAAGTGACCTATTTGGAAATCTGTTTCCAAATAGGTCACTTGGGAGACATTTCAATGTCTCCCTAATGCTCCAACTACCAAAAGGAGGAAAATTTTTCGAGTCAACATTTTGAGAGATGATAGATTAGGGTCTGAAAGGAAAACATGCAAAGTTTGGTTAAGATTGGATTGGGGAATATTGAACTATGGGACGGTAAAGTTTGAAAAATTTTGTGCACGTTCCTATGGGAATGTCTCCCAAGTGACCCATTTTCGGTAAATATTCCTCTTTTTATTATTATTATTTTTAAGAACGCATTAAGTTTTACTCATTGTTTTGGCCAACAGGGCAAAGGCTGTCACAGGCAGTCACCATTATTAAGAGGATTTCACTATTGTGATGCATGTTATACACTAATCAAAGCGATGTTCAAAGATTAAGAATACCTTCGGGATTATTTCAAGGTTACAACAGGTGCAATAGGCTGTGCCCTCTTTGTGTCTAGCAATATAATTAACATGAATATGGTTAAAAAGGTATTGAAAAGAAACCTACCTTACCCAATTACAGTCTTTCTATACGGGTGACAAGACCATCTTCCAAAAATAACATGAAAAAAATCATACAGTTTTCCCATTTACGATAAAAATTCCCAAAATGGGCTTCTGTGATTCTCTTTTTAGCCGATTTCAGAAACACTCATTATTTACATGTTTTTATGATATTCTGGTGACCCCAAAAGGTCCTAGGGAAATATGGATGTAAATAGTGTGTATCTTCACAGGTGAGTCTCGAAGTAGAGGCATGTTCTTCCATGGTTCTTGTCCAGTACGTTTACTGGTCCATCCATCCAGTTTTAAGTGCATGATTTTTAGTATTTTGTCATAAAATAAAATAAAATACACCCCAGTCTTGTGTAGCTTGTAGTTTCAGACAGGAATCTCAAACACTGGAACTTGATCTTGACATTTCTGAATGTGCAAGAATGCGTTGAATGGATTGTCCCTGGACAACACATTAAGGGTACATTTTAATTCTTCGTGGTTTTCACAGATAAGTAAAATTACAAGGATTTTGTGAGACTGTGCTTCAAATTTAGAAAAGTGACGCATAAGCCTCACTGACTGCTTAGCTTTTGTTGTGTCACTGCTGCTGATGTACGGGGCTGTGCCACCAGGTTTGGTATCCCCACAGCCCTGCAACGCAGACAATTTCCATACAGTTGTCCTCATTCTGTCATCTTTTCACCTATTTGAAAAAATGTACTGAATTTTGTATTGTTTTGAGGGGAGTTTTGGTTTAAGTCATCTGGTACAAACATTTTGACTTAAAACATTAAATGAATCCAACACATATTGATTTTCACTCGTAGTCAACCACATATACACAAAATGTATATAGTTTGCTTATTTATCCCCAAATGATCATTGTTTATAAATCTAAAGGTGAAAATTTGTGTTTTAAATGACCAAAATCATTCTTATAGAAGTTTTGAAAAAGGACATGTGGAGATTGTTTTGGTTCACCTTTTGAGAAATATGTCAGTTGCAAAATTTCAGTCTATTGTCATCTGAAGATTTGTCAGCATCATGCAAAAGTTCCCAATGTTTGGAAAGAGGTGATTGAACTTCACATATAAAGTTTGTAGTGTTCTTTTGTACATTACAAAAATTTTTCAAAAGGACAACTATTAAACAATAGTTGATTTCATAAAATCTTCAATTTCTTGTTTATTGTCCAACAGACCTCCCAAGGTAGTGGAGCACGTCTGACTTCAGCAGGTGGAAACAAATGTGACCATTGCTCCAAGCAGCAGCGCCCTCAATATCATCTGACTATGTCAGATAATAGCATTCGCAACTTCTGTTCCTATGGATGTGTGATTGCTTTCCAAGCCCAGTTTAATGTACCTCCAGTTACTCTTCCTCAAGAGACTTTACAGCTAACATGTAGCCAATGCCATCAAGGTTTCTCCAACAAACCACTGCCTTTAGAGTTCAAAGGTGCTGTCAATGTTTTCTGTGCACAGAATTGCATGGATGAATTTAAGAGGGTATGTAGTTTATTTGGATTTTACGTAAATTTTCAAAGAAGGAATATTCGTTTGGGATACACAGATGCACTTTGGTATGCTTGTAATAGCAAGTGTGATATCTGACATGTAAGGGCACAAGTACACAAAGAAAGCCCGAGAATCGTCCACACAAATACTGAATGGACAGTACTTGGGGGAAGAAAATTTGTTCTCTCTGAGATCAGTGTGAAATTCATGTCATATGATTGGGGGAAGATTATATTACCTTCTTGGCCAAAATACAACCTTTTTTTTGCTGTACACAAGATATTACAGATCCTAACTGCAGGTTTTGCTTTGCCCTCTGCATTGTTAAGCATGCAGAGTGATATAAGCAGAACCAATGGGCACAGTTG